GGGTGGTGCTTGGTTGGCAGGGGAATCCGGGGTAGTGCACCTTTCAAGATGAGTAAATGAGCATTGAAGCGTTCAAGATTATCAATATGCATGAATGGGGCGACCAAATTGTACACTCAAAAAAAAATTTTAGAAAATCGCCTATGGATTTGCTTTACTGGCGATTTTTTTCTATATTTCTGGAATATTTCTTGAATTTAATAAATTTTGATTAATTTGAAGAACATTTTCTTTACCAGTATAAAATTTTTTTATTTTAAAGAAAAAAATCGCCAGTGAAGCAAATCCATAGGCGGATTTCTAAAATTCAGGGCGATTCATTTTCTGAGTGTAGTTAAGTTCAAGTGGTCACCCAAGCTGGGATCCAAGAGGGAAACGAGGATGTGAGGTTGCCGTGATATGGTTTAGGTGTGATTAGGGGGAAGTTAGGGTGAATGTGCGACTGCTAAATGAAGGATTTATCCACTCACTTAGGCAAAATAAAAAGCGCGAGGATAGATTTGATTGTGCAGCACTTTCTTCTCCCAAAAACAAGACAATCCTAAGAGCGTCGGATTTCTTCTCAGCTACGCGCATTAAATTGCTCCACACCTGTCCATTATCCCATCAGTAGTTGTCTCCAGCACTTTCCCGACACATTTGGTAGCAGCAAATTTGATAACCACAGGAACATGCAAAAAGCATTTCAACTTTTACCTAGGCAGCACGGTAATTCGGCAAATAGGTAAACTGCTTACCAAAAAACACATATGTATTATATATTCAACTACACATCGCACTCTGTGTCATTTACATGAAAAAGTTTTCCATGTCGAATCTTTCCGACATCAAAACTTTTTCAAGTTTTACGATGATGTAGGTGATGTGTCTGCCAATGGAAGTTATTAAAGAGCTCCGGCCCAAAGAACTAGCCAAATTCGGTAAACAAAATCTGAATCATATTCCCATGCTAATTTTAATTATTCATTGCAATTGACCTGCCAAGCCAAATCCGATTACGGGATTAGTTGAATTGATATCAAAAGATGCAAAATATAAATGATTTTGAATTTATTTTTTGTTGTGGCAATTAAAATCATTAAATGTGTAATTAGAGCATCGTTTTGCGCATTTTACAATCCCTAATTGCGAGCAGGCATAGAAATATGAGACAATCAAAAGATTTTTGTGTATTAACCAGCTCTAGCATCATTAATTGCACCACAACTGTAATTATCGATGCGTTGCATTTTAACTTTCTGTCTTTAATTGCTTATAATCGATTTTATCGATTTTAAAATATTTTTATATTTACGATTAAGCTTATTTTTAAATTGTTGTACATCTAATACAAGACTAAAATTTCTTAAAAGTTTATTTTAATATTTCACATTTTAAAAGAAACATAAGTCTTTCGGCTATTTTACATTTTTTTTGGCTTGGTTTTTAAAAAGCCTCATAGTGCATTTTTATACCGTTACTCGTAGAGTAAAAGGGTATATTAGATTCGTGCAAAAGTATGTAACAGCTAGAAGGAAGCGTTTCCGACCCCATAAAGTATATATATTCTTGATCAGGGTCACTAGCCGAGTCGATCTAGCCATGTCCGTCTGTCCGTCTGTCCGTCTGTCCGTCTGTCCGTCTGTCTGTCTGTCTGTCTGTCTGTCTGTCCGTCTGTATGAACGCTGAGATCTCGGAAACTACAAAAGCTAGAAAGTTGAGATTTCCCACACATATTCTTTGGCTTCCTACGCAGCGCAAGTTTGTTTTAGCCGAGCGCCACGCCCCCTCTAACGCCCACAATCGCCCACTAATGATTTTAAAATGGGTCCTGCGCCCACATCTTTAAAGATTTCCAAAAAGTATAAATGCAATTTTGTTGTTTATATTTATACCTATCGAAATGTAGAAGACATTTTTCAAATCGGACCATTAATTAAAAAGTTATACGCAATCAAAAATTATATATCTATCTCCCTCGCACTCCCTTTAGCTGAGTTACGATTATTAGTCGGGACACCAACCCGACACAGCGTTCGCACTCCTTTTAGCTGAGTGACGGGTATTAGATAGTCGGGACAACAACCCGACTATAGCGTTCTCTCTTGTTAAGAATCAAATCAGACCTGTTATTGTATGAAAGTTTTAACTTCTCCATCCACTCGGTACACAATTTCACACTGCTCATGCGACAATGTCGAGCTCAGCTACAATTTCGGCTTCTCTATGATAAATTAATTTCGCACAATATTGGTCATCTGCGAGCAATTAAGCCCATTGTGCGGCTTTTCAAATAGGTTTGCTTTCCGAAGGTAATAATTCGATAGAAAACTGTTTTCGATACAGCCATACAGTCTGTACACACATCCCCATTTCCACCTTATGAGCATTCATATTCTCACACTTTTGCTTTTCGGTCGAGTGCCGTGCTCGTAAAAGAAAGCCGCACCGAAGAGCCCAGCAGGAAGTGTTGTAATTCGCACTTTACCAGACTCACCAATGCCACACACACAAAAATGTGGCTATCATGTCGTATACTTGATTCTGAAGAGGACAGTGGTGAAGGGAAGCTGGAAGGGTAATATCTACGCACAACATTTTGCTGAGCTTGCCTTGGTTTTAATTGTGGCTGGTGTTGTTGTTGCCGGCCACATAACTGAAAAATATATGCAGGATACGAAACGGTTTATGTGCCATTATGGAGCAGATATCCCACTCCCACTCCCAAACCAGTTGTGTGTGGGCGATGGATTTTATGGGCCTAGACGAGTTCTCGAATGCTAGTTACGTAATCTGCCCAAAATATTCGCCTGCAATTAAAAACATTTTCAAGTCGTTTATTCTCGCTCCGGAGGAGAGTCGAACATACGGGGGAACGGGACTCAACAGAAGGCTCGTAAAACCGACTTTTTGGCAATGTCTAACCAATTTTGTGGATTTGGGCTTATGCATTTATTGGAATTTTTATGGCCCACTTTTATGGGCTCTGCAGGAATGGGGGATAAAGAGCGATGGGTAAAAATTGGTTTATGAATATTAAAAACAATTTCGGGCGAAAATAGGTATAGTTAATTCCGAGATTAGTTCTGGATTTGGAATACTAATTAATTGGAATGAAGGACGAAGGACAAAGGGATTTTCCCAAGGCAAGCACTTTTCAGGGGTCAAAGCCAAATCAATTATCCGGAATCTTAGGCCGCAAATACTGCCCCAACCAATATAAGTTTAAAATACTTTGCCTGTGCAAACTAATCGATTTCGGCAGAAGGCCGACTCAAAATCTTTCATGCTGGAAGGGCTAATTCCTGAAACCTCGTCAATGGCAACAGTTTCAAATTAATTAATAAAATTTTTGTTCCAAGTGGGACCAGCAAACAAACAAACAAACAACAAACTGCAAATAAAGGCCGAAACCCGTCCATGCCCCCGGTCGAGAAAGACTTGGCTCAGAACGGAATGTTGGTCAAGAAGTTGCGTGTGCCAAGGCACGTGTGTGGTCCTGCCTTACCCAGAATTTTCCTCCGACATTCAACCACCTTGCAAACTGTTTGGAAGCCAAACCAAACAACAAATACTTCAATAAACGAAATTAAATATTTGTGCATGGAATGAAACATTTTCCTCAGAATCGAGGACCGAGGCGAGCAGCAACAGAGGGAAATTGAAAAAGAATTGAACACTTTATGCCTCGCATCGGCAACAAATTAAATAATTGCTGCAAAAAGTTTGCCATCTGCAAATATTTCAGCAAATAAACGAAAATAAACTATGGATTTCTCTCGAAGCTTTTATGCTATTGTTCGAATTTCTGGCTTTTTGTTAATTTACTAAGGATTTCCTATTCGTCAGTATTAGCACGAACCCCTTGCCGGCGTCCGACATTTGTCAAATATTTTGTTTGCCAAATTGTTTAACTTCTGACCCGAGCCGTCTGCCTTCCCTCATGGGTTCCTGCGTAATTAGGCTTTAATTGGCCAATTGTAACCATCTCGGGCGCCTCTCTTTGCTTGCGTTTTTGGCGGAATTTGGCCGCGGGCTCAGAGCCAACACCTTTTTGATGTCTCACCCTGGGCAAAAGGCGGCGACTCGGCGCTGAATCAAACTAATTAGGCGCAAACTTAATTAATATTTGATGAATTATTTGACCTTTTGTCTGATTACCATGACGGTTCCCCGAGAGCAAACTCGGGCCTTAAGTGGCCCTCGTCGTTTGCCTGACGACAGACGGACGGAGAAATAAAGATAACTTTTTAGGATTTTCCGAAATTGAGCTTCATTTGGTTGAGAGGGAAAACATTTGATAAACTTGTCGCTAGGCAGGTGCCACCACAGAAAGGACTGGCATTACGCCTACCCATGGAGGGGGCGTGGCCGGGTGCGTGCAGAGCGATTCAAATCATAAAACGGTAAGGTGAGACGAGGCGCAAAAGTTTTTCTAATGTTTATTGGCGAAACTTTTTCATTTTTTACAACTTTCAGAAAAGTTTTCGCAGAACTTCCACGACTCCCCCGGTTGCATTCTGCCTATTCTGTTGTTGCCTAGGCCCGTCTCTGGTCATTTTAAAGTTTAAATTATACCAAGGGGGCTGGGGATGGTCCAGGTCTGAGTGGTATGGAATCCAACGATTGTCAGCACATTAGGCCTACCAAGTTGGAGTGGGGAAGCCTTACTTTGAATTAAACTTTTATCGCATCAATTCCGAGAGTTTTTACCGCGTTTCCCTGGCAAAGTTTCATTGTTGGAGAATTTTCAGATATTAATTCCTTTATTTAAATTCGCCCTAGTCCCCGAGATAATGCAAATAAACGCGATTGTACTCACCCGAGTGGGTATAGGTGCCACTTACCTGCAAGAGAAGGAATAAAAATGGAAATTACTTGCAAATTCATAGCCATAGCAACAATAGTCGTTCGTATTATAAGTATTCTAAGAATCCTAAGGCTAAGGCTTTTCTGCCTTTTAAGTCAAAAATCTGGTAAATACCCCATACTCAGTAGCCTTATTGCTCCCGTCAGAGTCACTTGAAGCTAAAGTATATTTTTCACAGCCGGATCATGATTTGCATCCCTGCTCTCAACTTGTTCTTTTACAACTGTCTAGTGGTTTACATAGCCAGAAAAGTCATACGGATTATCAAGGGTGAGATCTGAATGGGTATATTATTCGTATCACTTAAACCTTTCTTGAAGCTCCATTAACAAATGCGAATGGTTGGTGCCGGATCCCCCTGATCGGCAGAATCTTCGGTTCCCAGCAACCGGACACTCTTGATGATGGGTTAGAATTCCCGGAGTTCGATGTCGCCCTGTGGAACGTGAATTTGCACGTAAACTTCTTGCTTCTTCTGCCGGCACTCTTCCAGATCCATCACTTCACCTTGCTGGTGGCCCTAATTCTCATGTGGAACTTTTACGTCTACCAGCGTCTATTCGCTTTCTATCTGAAGCTCGTGTGGCACTTGTGGTGGAGCGATCTTGGTTGGGTCTACTACGCACCCCTGGTCATTTTCGGACTTGTTATGAACACACTGCATTTGAGTTTGATCATCGGAACAATGAAGCTGCAGACGAAGAGCCCCCAAGATCCTTTGCCCCAGATCCAGTTGGAATCTCCTCCACAACAGGAGCAGAATTCAGTGACGATTGGTGATGGCCCAGAACGTTAAGGTCGGAAAAATCTGAAACTGAACGCCGGAGCCCAGGTTCAGCCGCCTTTAACTGGGTCGCCATCAGTCAGGGACTTAACCTTGCGGCATCTACAAATACTGGGTCGTTGGTTCAACTAATAAATATGCCAGAAAACGGCAGACACACAGATACCGGGCACGCACACACACCCGCACTCCAGGACATGTACAAATGAATCGCAGCTGAGGGCTGGTCGAGCTTCGGGAAATAAAACCATTAAATATTTGCGGTTAAACGCACCAAAAACAAACCGCAAAAGTAAATCATATCCAGAGCAGACATTGGACATGGCCAAGCATCCGAGGCAAGGAATTTTCTTGCCTCACCCGTCTATCGTCCGCCGTCCGGCACTCGTACGCAAAAATATTAGATTAGAAATTAGGAAAGCCATGGACATGGTCTTGGATTGGTTGTGGGCTTGGGTTTGGGCAGGCAGCAGACCAGAACGCCATTTACTTGGGGGTTGGCATGCCCGAGCAGGAAACTGGTTACCGACGGCCTGCCAAAAATTCCAAATGGTCCATGGCGGAGGAGCATAAATCATTGAAACTGACATTTCACCATTTCACTGGATTTGTATATGTGTATGCTAAAGGTTCGGCCACTTTGAGGGGAGAAATTTGCGTAAGATATCCGTCGATTTTCTCAAGGATATACGGGGACACGCGCCTGGCCGGCAAAGAACTGGGTCCCTCGGTGCGCTCTATTAGTTCTCCAGAACTAGTTCCCCAAAGACTCGACCAGACCAGAACTAACTCACATAAATCATTTGGCCATTGAATGCGAGCTCCGCTGAGAGACATCGTCAAACCAAAGTCGAGGACCCCATACCACATAGCTTAAAGCCCGAACTAAGCTAACTAAAAGTCAGTTGCCCGTAACTGATGGGGAAAAATCAGGGTTTCATTTCGGATTCAGGCTTAGAATTTAGCGGAAGTGAAAGCCGACCGAGTTCATTTAAGTGGGCCAACGGAACTTTAATCGCTTTTTATGCAGGATTAGTAGCTGCAGTCATAAAAACCACCTTACAGCTGTGAGAAATTGCAATAAGTCGGCGAATGAACTTCGAGTGAACTTTTGCAATTGGCCTCCCTAAATTATCAGAGAAGTATTATAGATCTGGGTCAAGAGATTTATTTTATTAGACAAAAAGTGGTTTTATTAGGTTGGAGGATTTTAAGTTACGGGTTCTTCTTCAGAATGAGAGTTTCAAAGATTTCACAAAATATTTAAATGTTCTTGCAACATAAAATTAGTACACAGCTGGGGTTGTTTTAGTTTAAGTTGATTATCAAAGAATTGCAAAAAATTTAAATATTTATGCTTTCATCTATGGATTTTGTTGTTACGGCAGCGATTGTGTTTGCTCTCTAAGGCCAATTAAATCATTTTTGTGTTATAGAGGCTTTCAGTTGAATAAAACGGAGCTAGAGATGAATAACTGGATATTATTCCGGATGTCTTTTAAAGTTTGCACTCATTGAAGGCTATAAAATCAAAGTAATTTAACGTTTTAGAAATGATTACCTCTATTTTAGGTAAGACCAAAATTAAGCTCTTAAGCAATATTAGGCAATAGGCCACTTTGTTTTAGAGTTTATTTTTATTAACATCTTATTATTAAATTATCCCACCTATTTTTAGCTAACTCGCGTAATTTGGGAAATTAAAACAAACACTTTTTTTTTTAATCCCGTCAGCTGCAATTAAAATGTGGAGTGAAAATCTCATTTTTTTTCGACACCCTTGCAAGCATGTTTAGAGTCAAATTTGCTCACACAAGTTGGCAGTGCTAGATCGTAAATTACAAGTTTATATTCGTTGCTCTGGAATTTCAATCCATACCTATTTGATTCATTCCATCCATCAGTCCAGTATGACGGCGATGAAGATCCTATGTTCCTCCACCCGCACCGCATTTCGCTGCTCCCTTGGCTGGTGTCGCCATGCCTCCTCCAATTCGCGCTACGACTATGACCTGGTGGTCCTGGGCGGCGGCTCGGCGGGATTGGCCTGCGCCAAGGAGGCGGCTGACTGCGGTGCCCGCGTCCTGTGCTTCGACTTCGTGAAGCCCACTCCCTCGGGCACCAAGTGGGGCATTGGCGGCACCTGTGTGAACGTGGGTTGCATCCCCAAGAAGCTGATGCACCAGGCCTCGCTGCTGGGCGAGGCGGTCCACGAGGCGGTGGCCTACGGCTGGAACGTGGACGACCAGAACCTGCGGCCCGACTGGGGCAAGCTGGTGCGTTCCGTCCAGAACCACATCAAGTCGGTCAACTGGGTGACGCGCGTGGATTTGCGCGACAAGAAGGTGGAGTACGTCAACTCGATGGGATCCTTTGTCGACCCTCACACCATCGAGTATGTGGCAAGGTCGGGCGAAGGGCGCCGGCAGGTGACTTCCGAGTACGTTGTGGTGGCCGTGGGCGGACGACCGCGCTACCCGGACATCCCCGGCGCCCTGGAGCTGGGCATCACCAGCGACGACATCTTTAGCTACGAACGGGAGCCCGGCCGCACCCTGGTCGTGGGTGCTGGATATGTGGGTCTCGAGTGCGCCTGCTTCCTTCGGGGCCTCGGCTACGAGCCCACCGTGATGGTGCGCTCCATTGTGCTGCGTGGCTTTGACCGCCAGATGTCCGAGTTGCTGGCGGCCATGATGACGGAGCGGGGAGTTTCCTTCCTGGGCACCACCATTCCCAGGTCCGTGGAGCGACAGGCGGATGGGAGGCTGCTGGTGAGGTATTACAACACCTCCAACCAAATGGAAGGCAGCGACGTTTTCGACACCGTGCTATGGGCCATTGGACGAAGGGGTCTCATAGAGGACCTCAACCTGGAGGCCGCCGGAGTGAGGACGCAAAACGACAAGATTGTGGTGGACGCCGCTGAGGCCACCAGTGTACCGCACATTTTTGCTGTGGGGGACATCATATACGGTAGGCCGGAACTCACGCCGGTGGCCATTTTGTCGGGTCGCCTGCTCGCCAGACGCCTCTTCGCCGGATCCAAGCAGCTGATGGACTACGCCGATGTGGCCACCACCGTTTTTACACCACTCGAATACAGCTGTGTTGGGATGTCGGAGGAAACGGCTATCGAGCTGCGGGGGGCAGATAACATCGAGGTCTTCCACGGCTACTACAAGCCCACCGAGTTCTTTATTCCGCAGAAGAGCGTGCGCCACTGCTACCTGAAGGCCGTGGCCGAGATAGCCGGGGACCAGAAGATCCTGGGCCTGCACTACATCGGCCCAGTGGCCGGCGAGGTCATCCAGGGCTTCGCCGCAGCACTCAAATCGGGCCTGACTGTGAAGACCCTGCTGAACACCGTGGGCATCCACCCCACCACCGCCGAGGAGTTCACGCGGCTCTCCATCACCAAGAGATCTGGACGCGATCCCACCCCCGCCTCCTGCTGCAGTTAGTCTAGTGACTTTGTGATTAGTGTATTACGGTAGTGAATAAAACACCTTGTTCTAAGATCAATTAAGATTATTTTAGCCCTGTCTAAAGGATCTCAAATAAACAGGAAAGAACTGATGGAAGGAGGATGAAATATAAAGGAGGAGACGTCATTCCTTGACATATTTACAAAGTTATGGGTACCTGATAGTCGAGAGTCCCTTTTTACTTGGTCTAAGTTAATTAAAAATGGACAGGAAATAAGTTAAACGAACTAAAATCGATTAAACTAAAATTAATAAATAGTTTCTTAAATTTTGGACATTTAAAAGTATTTTAACTTACAGTACTTTAATTTATTTTATTATACCCTTGTAGAGGGTATTATAATTTCAGTCAGATGTTTGCAACGCAGTGAAGGAGACGTTTCCGACCACATAAAGTATATATATTCTTGATCAGCAACAATAGCCGAGTCTATCTAGCCATGTCCGTCTGTCCGTCTGTCCGTCTGTCCGTCGGTCCGTCTGTCCGTCTGTCCGTCTGTCCGTCTGTCCGTTTCTATGCGAACTAGTCTCTCAGTTTTAAAGCTATCGCGATGAAACTTTCCCGAAGGTCTTCTTTCTATTGCAGGTAGTACATATGTCGGAGCGAGCCGGATCGGACCACTATATCTTAAGGCTCTCATAGGAATATTCAAACAAATATAAGAAAATTCATTGTAACTTTGTAGGAAGTAGGCGTTTTGATTCTTGACTACTTATGTATAAACAAAATTAAAATAGAAACGCTGAATTTGGAATCCCTGGAACTGCACCGATTGAGCATTACTTTATCTACAAGGGTATATAAGCTTCGGCTGGCCGAAGGTAGCTTCCTTTCTTGTTTTTTTCTTTTTTCCTGGTGCTACAAGAATTTCCTTATAAATTATTGCACTAGTCACAAATAAAAATAAACCAATTTAAGAAATATTTGAAGATGTTTAGTTATAGCGTAAATATTCTTTAAAAAATGACTTTCAACTTAAATAAACCACTTTACGCTCTGTCCAAGGAGCATCCTCCCACGGACCACCGGCATCTGGATTGCATCTCTCTGACGGACTGCTCGTTAAGATGTGTGGCACACGTTCTGCTGATTTGACACTTCAAAATAAATGACACCGCCGCATTTGGTGGCCGGAGACCCTCAGAGCGATTGCCATTTTTGACATATGAAGTTTTAATTTATGAAGTTCAGGGCGAAAAACACTTTGTTCCCCTGGAGCTGACCTGCGTATCCGTTTCCGAGTCCGGTGTGTCGTATCGGTGACCCAGAATCTTGCGAGTGGCGCCAGAAACTGGGCCACACCCACCCACACACACACTCTCACAATGGCTGCTCGTGGCACGGGCAACAACACACAACAGGGGATAAAAAATTTTGATTAATGTTTACTTCCGATTTGCATAAATCTTACTTTAGCATTTTTGGGCTAGAGCCTCGCTCTCGCTTTCACAGCCTCTTCCTCCCGGGCGCCTTTGTTATAAATGATTTTTTTATTGCAGCCTCCCCAGAATCGAGGTCCCGCTTGGATACCGTATGCTCCCCGGTTAAATTGTTTGCCTCGGCGTTATTTATTCGTTTGTTTGTGCCGGTCATCAGGAGTGGCCATCCCATCCATGTGCAGGTGGGACAGTGGCCCAGGATCCAGGATCCAGGTCAAGGCGGCGGTGCATCTGCCAGTGAGCCCGATGCTCCCACAGTCTTCGCCGTAACTTTTCGATTAGCTTTGCCAACTCATTTAACAAATGGTCTGGCTGACAGTAAGGAATATAACAAATTTACCCCGGCAATCGCAGGGAGCTGCTAGAAGTAGTAGTTTTCATTGCAACACCTTAGAATCATAAATTGTGACCGCCTGACCGCCCTGCTGCAGCTGGGAAAACTTTTGCCCCATCCCATTCGAAAGTTTGGCTGTAAGTTAAAGCACCCGCGGGTAATTCGATAAAGCGTAAAATTTTGCACTTAAACTATTTTCATCTTCAGCTGCACAGCCATCCTGCAGCTCGGAGTTGGCATTTGGCAATTGCATTGTTGCTCTTATTATTGTTCTCCGGTTTTTCGGTCGTTGGCAGCTTGACCTGCCGGAGGAAGGCGGGAAAAGTCTTGAATTACAATACAGGAAAAGTGCGGAAAAGTTTCCTCTGATTGCGTGTCCAAGTGGTTGGGCCATTGCTCCTTTTCCTGATTGAGTGCTCTCGAGTGCGAGGCGGCACGGGAACTGTTTTGGCATTGCAGTTGAGACGTTGGCAAGTTATTCGGAAGCGGAATCGCCTCATAAGACGGGAAGCACAATGCCGAATACCCCGGGCCACACCTCCTCGATCACACAAATCCGCACAAATTGTTTGCAAAATTGTGCAATCAGCGCAAGAACAAAAGCTCGCTTACTGCTGCTGCTTCAATAGACTAAAGTAAATTAAAAATCTCATTTAAATTAATCCCCATTGAGGGTCCTTGCGACCCGGTTCCTGGCTGAAAGGCAGAGGGGGTGGCCTGGCTGTTGTCGTTCTCATCAACGCATTACAAACAATTCCACTTTAGGCACGCAGCCACAGCAGCTTGTGGCTACATGGGGCGTGGCAGACACATACGTATACCTTCGGTAAGGAGGGCCAAGCTTAAGTCTTGTTTAGCAATTTAGAATTTTTAAATCCTATTAAATTTTGCAATCACTGTTTGATTTGTTTGCCCAGCATCCAGGACGGAAGCTCGGACAGGTGGAGTGGAGGGAATCGGTATGAGAATCGGAAACTGAGAAACCGGAGCTGGACACGTTCCACGGGCAGACCGAGTCAAAGGGCTTTCAATGATTCAATAGTTTAATTTCGAATTTCCATGCAAATAAACAAATATCCATTAGAGACGGAGACCGAGGAACGGAGCAGCAGGAATGGCTTTCTATTTAGTTTAGTTATTAAATGTATCCATTTCCATTTACCAAATTACGCCGCAATTGTTGTTCGGATGCTCGGCTTGGACGACTGTCTATCTGTTTGTCAGTCAGCCTTGTTTGCCGTTGTGGCCCATTGTTGGGCTGTGTTTGCCGAGTTGAGTTGCCATCCGCATCTGCCCAGATCTCTAACTTTATCTGCATCTGCATCTGCGGCTACATCTGCCTTTGTATCTGGATCTGCATCTTCCCGGCATGCTGATGCTGCATGTGTAATTACGTAAAAGTTGATAATGTGTTGATTATTTGAGGTATTTATGTGATTTTCGAGTTCCTTCTGCGCTCTCTCGTTTTTCATGTTTAATTGCAATTATTTAATTACATTTGCAGCTTTAACTTTGGCATGTGTCTATTGAGTTTTGCGGTCAGCCTTCGTTCTTCGCCTCACATTCGAGGGAAAAAACCGAGGACTTTTCTAAGGAACGCAGGCATTTCTGTTTGTGTTGATTGCATTACAAAGAAGCCTCTTTGTCGTCGCTTCTCCCTGCTTGGCCGGCAGACACTTGACGATAATTTCATATTAAATCTTCATCCAATTACCGGAGTAATTCAAATTAAAATTGATTATCGATTGCGATGGACATTAATTGATTACTTTTGGCCATTTAGGGATAGCTTCCTTTCATCCTGAATCCAGCTCAGCGGGTTTCGTGATGCACTGAAACCACAAATGTTACCAGTTTTCTTTAAAAACAAGCTCCCTTCCACTTTTCTTTCCTCTCCCAGCGATTCCCAGCGAGTGCTTAAATATGTGCGACGTAATTTAATTTCATAAAAGCAATTGTACTTCTGACCCCACCGCTCGTCCCTCGACTCACGACCCTCGGCAAACTTTGCTCGCATTCACGGAATGACAAAATCATGTGGCCAGGAGGAATGTGGATGTGGCAAGGACTCAACTAACGGCGAGACCATTTGGCAGAGGTGGACCCGTGACTGTGATCGAGCCAGATCTGTCGAAGAATTTCTCTAAAACACCAAAAAAACTTAAAAAATTTTAAAAATAAAATTGAAAGAATTAATTATAATTTAATTACTTTAAATCTGATTTTTAGGTACTTTAATATATGGTTTAATTTCAACAGCATTGACATGTTCTGTTCATTTGGAATAGACACTGCCATTTAAATGAGATAATGTGACAATTAGATAAATTAAATTATTTTATTAATAAGTGTTCAAAATGCAGGTGAGTAAATGAGAACATTAAGTTAATTAACTAAATATTATGTAGTTCATAACTTGAAATACCTTTCATGTAAACCATTTAAAAAAAAACAAGATTTAAGTACTGTTGGCTAAAAAAGAGCTCCGTTGGCGACTGTGGTCTAAGGAGACTCTTCCTGTGCAGGTCCTGCATCACGATCCCATCTCTGCGCCGGCCGAGCGTATTTGTTTTGTTTTTTAAAGCCAACGTCAAGGGCCGCCACTGCCGCCAACAGACGGGGCAAACAGGGGCGTCGGACAAAGAGGGGCTGGATCCAAGGGAGGGGAGTCAGGAGACAGATGGGAAGTATTTTCATTGTCTTGTTTGCCAACGTCGAGAGTCGCATATTTGACATTGGACTTGTGTGCGCTCTGATAGCGTGCCAGCCAAAACATCACAAATGGTTGGCAACTCTGGCAAACCGGTCGGCAAACACACACGCACACCCAGACACACACACACTCGGAACTCCAGTTGTGACACATAATTGCGAGTGTTTACTGTGCGCGTGTGTGAGTGCGTTGATTTTCTTTCGTTATCCTGTGGTTTTTGTGAGGAGCCAACGCGGCGTATGTGCAACGTGCGGTAAATAAAATGGAAACACTCGCACAGAGCGAGAGACCTATCATTTATGCACAAACGTTGCCAACTTTCCCTACAACAAATGCAGCAAAGGCGCGACTTTCGGCTGCCTTTTCACTTGCCCGCTCAGTTTGTTCGGTTCTCGGGTATAAGGCAGGCAGAGACATCCTTATCCTTCTTAGCCCTACACACATGAGCCTGCCACAATGCGATGGCATTCGAGACAAAAAGAATTGCGCGTTTTAAGCATTTTCAAATTAAATTAAAAACTGCACCAAACAGCCGAAAGTCGGA